GAAATTTATATAGCAGGGGTAAGCAAAAATATACTTTTGAATGCAGGCGTGATCCTCTGGATCTTGTATACCAGGGTCTGGACCTGCACATACCTAAGGCTTTTTTAAATAGAGAAGAACTGAGTGTTGCAAAAGTAGCTCAGATGACAAGGAAAAGTTCTCAATCTGCATCCACGGAAAGAGTTCCTGCTGAAAAATGTAATCCTGTGACCGGTTGCACGGAGAAGCATCGGGATGATGGGTTTCTGTTGTCGTCTGATTATTTCACAATAAGGAGGCAGGCACCAAAGGCTGATCCGGCAAGGTTATTGGCATGGCAAGAGGCTGGAAGGAAAAATCTTGAAATGACATACGTGAGGTCTGAATTTGAGAATGGAAGTGAGAGTGATGAGCACACGCGGTCAGACCCAAGCGATGATGATGGATACAATGTAGTAATAGCTGATAATTGCCAGCGCGTTTTTGTTTATGGCCTCAAACTGTTGTGGACTATAGAAAACAGGGATGCTGTTTGGTCCTGGGTTGGTGGATTATCTAAAGCATTTGAACCTCCAAAGCCTTCCCCTTCTCGACAGTTTGCACAGAGGAAACTAATTGAGGAAAACCAGAAACATGGTGAAAGTGAAATGGTTCAAGATGATATTTCTAAGCCTTCTCCTGCCAGCCAGGTCGTGAAACCTTCTCCTCAGCCTGTGGAGACGGCTGCTGAATCTCTTCCATCTCCATCACATTCAGTTAAAGTGGAAAACTCATCATCTGCTGCTGTTAGTATGTTCCAATCACCTTCAAATGCTCATTTGAAATTTAACATTTGGGATGGTTTTTTTTTCCTGCATTGGACAACCTCTGCACTAATTTCTATCATAATGATTGATAGCACTGTTTAAGACTTATTTTAGTTATATTTCTTTTATCATTACAATGTCTTCTACGAGCATGTCCTTTAATAACTTAAAATTTCAGCTAAGAAGTATCTTTTCTGCCATGCCACCAGTGATAAATGAGGGCATCAATGATCCCGAGGAGGAAGGGACTCGACATTTCATGGTGAATGTTATTGAGCCGCAATTCAATCTCCACTCTGAAGACGCAAATGTAAGTAGAGAAGAACTTAGGCCTTGAAACCTAAAATTCTTTGAGGAAGTTCGGTTCATGGAATACGATAAGTACTAATGTCCCTCATTTTGATCCTGGTATAAAATTAATCAACTTTAGTGCATATCATAAACATATTGTGCAGTACGGTCTTTTCTTAATCATAACTTTATCTACCTTTATAACGAAGTACGTTATAAAACTTGGATTGTTAAATTTTAAGTTTGCAAATATTACTCTTGGTTAAGAAGTAAGTTTTCTTTTATGTTTTCAGGGTAGATTTCTGCTTGCTGCTGTCAGCGGCCGTGTTTTAGCAAGATCTTTTCATTCTGTTCTTCGTGTTGGATATGAGATGATTGAACAAGCACTTGCTAGTGAAAATGTTCACATTCCAGAATGTGGACCTGAAATGACATGGAAACGAACTGAGTTCTCCGTTATGTTGAAGCATGTACAAGCCCATGTTGCACCTACTGATGTTGATCCAGGGGCTGGGCTACAGTGGCTCCCAAAAATTCTTCGGAGCTCTCCTAAAGTGAAACGTACTGGTGCTCTACTTGAAAGAGTGTTCATGCCTTGTGATATGTATTTCCGTTATACAAGGCACAAAGGTGGGACTCCAGATTTGAAGGTAAGGCAATTTCTATAATGTGGCTATATTTCTAACGAGATAACTTCTTTGATTTTTTTTAAATCTAGCAGTTTATTATTATATTTTTCTTAGACGTGTTCATAAGTTTATATTCTTTATACATTAGTATTGTTTGCCCTCCATGGTGAATCACTTCAATGTTGAGTCAATTTACTTGCATTGAAATCATTCCACTGCAGGTGAAGCCGTTAAAGGAACTCACCTTTAATTCTGATGATATAACAGCAACAATGACATCCCGCCAATTTCAGGTCATGCTGGATGTGTTGACCAACCTTCTATTCGCAAGACTTCCCAAGTGAGTTTATGTGGGTGTCATATCTTCTTTTAGGGAGGGTGTTGTATCTTCTTCCACTTGGACGTTTTACAGGAGTTGCCTATTAGAATTAAAACATTGGCAATTCTTCCATATCTCATGATACCTTTGCTTTTTCTTTTTTTGTTATTTTTTTAACTTTTTTAGAGAAAAAGAGAAAGACAGCACCAAAGGAAGGTGTCAAATATCTTAGAAGGGCACCAAGGGGTGCCACCCCTGTACAAGAGCATAAGAGTAAGAATAAAACACAGACCATCCACAAAGGTTCTAAGATCCTGTTCAGAAAGGATGGAATGACCTCCATACAAAAATTTTTAGTCTGGAACCAATTAGCTCTTATATTGATAAAAGAAGAGACCTTACAAAAGAATCATTTGTTGCTTTCTTTATATGTAACCCACGTAGTGATCAAAGGACTAAGTGGGATACATCCTTCATTTCGATAGAGATACCATTCCAAGCCCAAATTTCATCTGCTACTGAACTACTGAAGACCCAAGAAAGGTTAAGAAAATAGAGAGCAGGATTCCATAATTTTCTCGCCTTAAGATGGGTTTGTTTATTTATTCAATTTTGGACGGTAAAATTTGAAACATGTCAATATCTTAGATGTTGGCCCAGTCTTATTACAGACCACTTGCAAATTATCATGAATTTATGTTGTTGGAGAGAGGAACTAAATTCTGGCGTATATTAGTATGCCAACTTATATTTTCTGTTTCAGATTGTTAAGGGAAAGAAAAAAGAATATGCATAACTTGTATCCATATCATGGTGTTGATATTATTTAGTGACTTACAGTTTCTTAACTTGTATGCATTTCACTTTGACATTTGATGTGAAATTGATGCCAAGTTATATGTGTGATTCAGGCCTAGAAAAAGTAGTCTGTCATATCCTACTGAAGATGATGAAGAAGTAGAAGAGGAAGCCCATGAAGTGGTTCCTGATGGTGTTGAAGAGGTAGAACTTGCAAAGGTCGACCTTGAACAAAAAGAGAGAGCGCATAAGTTGCTTCTTGACGACATTAGGAAATTATCCTTATATTCTGATACTTCAGGAGACCTACATCTAGAAAAGGAAGGTGACTTGTGGATGATTACTGGTGGGAGATCTATATTGGTGAGAAATAGACCTATCAAAAATATGTTCATATTTCATTTGACAGCTTCTTTGAATGCTAGTATTCAATGGTCGGTCTTTGATTATATGAACATAATTCCTTTCCCAGGGCAAGCGTTCTGCTCAATTCGACTAAACTAAAAAGTTCTGTTATTATTGTAGGATCTGAGTATATTTTCCTTTCTTTTATGAAGGAAGTCTGATTATAAGTCTTTGAACATAAACTGAAGTAGAATGCAGTTAGATAAATCTTAGTTAGGCCAAAGATTCTGCAGAGGAATTATTTGTCTGTGCTGTCTTTTTCCCTCTTCACTTCTGCTTTAGCTTCTGCCAGTGCTTCTATTTCTTCTTTGAGATGAGCAGAAGATGTAATTGAGTTCGGTTTTGCATGTCGATGAACGTCATTACATGTGTTCTAGGAAAATTTTCTTTATCCGTATCCCTTTTTTCTTTATACAACTAGCTTATCCTTTTCTTACCAATTAGTGACTGAGAGCACAAACACTGTTTCTGGAGACTGTAATAATTAATCTTTGTACTGATTGTCTATATATATAAGTAGCATGATATATCTGGAGAATATTTCCTGAAAATGATCTATTTTTTGGGTTTGCTTTTATCTTCTATGCAAATGGAGTGGAGAATTTATTACCCTAACATTACCCATATTTCCCTCTTTTATTTCTTAGTTGTTTTTTCTTCTATGTGAATATAGCTTATCCTTGTTTATTTGTATTGAATTTTGGTATCAGGTATGTTAGAAAGATATATGGCACATTCACTTTGATTGCTCATATGGAATTGAAATGGTTATATTGAACTGACTGTTGTCAAGGTGGAACCTTATGGTAGGGATTAGCTCCCTGTGTAATTTTGAGAGAACTGATTCTTTTCTCAACATTTGCGGCTTTTTAGTGAAAATCTATATGCTTATATCCAAATGGTTTGAAGTTCTATATCCTTTTGGGAAAAATATTTAAGGAAATTTTATTTAAGTTAGGATCGAACATGACTAAGAATTCTTTTGGAAATTTAAAGTTGGATGGTTGAATTACTTGCTGAGTTGCCAAATTGGGACTGGAGATTGATGTAGAATTCCTGAAAGAAATTTCTCTGGCTTACTCAAACATTGCGGTTCTCTGTTATCGTACTTTCCTTCATCTTTTGCTGGCTGTTGATGCTACGAAATCTTTAATATTTTCAGGTTGACTGGCTTTTTATGTACTCACATGTAGTAACAAACTGCTTGCATAATGGCATATTAAGAGTTTGCTCTATAAACATATATGAAGAAATTTTTATATGAAAAAATGGCAGATGAAGAATTTGAGTTTCACTGCTTTAGGTGCAAGGACTGAAGAGAGAGCTTGTGAATGCACAAAAATCTAGAAAGGCAGCATCTGCATCATTGCGCATGGCTCTACAGAAGGCTGCTCAGCTACGTTTAATGGAGAAGGAGAAGAACAAAAGCCCGTCCTATGCTATGCGTATCTCTTTGCAAATTAACAAAGTTGTTTGGAGCATGCTCGTAGATGGTAAATCCTTTGCTGAGGCTGAGATAAACGACATGGTAAGTTTGGAAGAATATTGGTTTGTGCTTGTTTATTGAAAGATCAATAAGTTAATTACCACTAACTTGCAGTGAGAAACTGCAGGTATCAGTTTGTGGTGGCTAGCTACCACCTAGTAGCTGCTGTTGTCATGCTCTGGACATTGTTGACTTTTTTCTAATCCTTGGCTTCTTTGCAGTGCTGCTTTTCTTTTCTTTTTTTTCCCGAGACAAGTCG